CACATTAAGTGTTTTGTCTAGCCTAGTTTTGGGTTTCAGTCTGTTTCCAAAAGGCTTAAAAAAACTGCTGCATGTTTAACCAGATGATCTCTAGAAGGTTTTATCCCTTCATGACCAGGGCATGTTTTGCTATTCAGCACTGTGCTACTTTAACTGGCAGTTGTGCAGTCATGCAACACTGTACCCAAATGAAATTTATATCATTTTTCACACAAATGGAGTTTTCTTTTGGTGGCATTTGATCAACACTGGGTTTTTTACTTTTTATTGAGTACACACAAAAAAAATTTTGAAAAAAAAAAATGTTCTACTTTCTGTTATAAAACATATTCAATTAAAAAAAAAAAGTCATTTCTTTATAAATTTAAACCAAAATGTATTCTGCTACATGTCTTTAGTAAAAAAAAAAATTACAATAGGTGTATATTAATTGGTTTGCATGAAAGTTATAGCGTCTACAAACAATGGTATATATACAGGAATTAACGCAGCTATAGACTCTATACTGTAATGTCGGTGATCAGCGACTTATAGTGTGACTGTGATAGCAAAAAATTATGATAGCAAAAAATTGCTGACAATTGGAGAAAAGCATTTCCTTTTTCTTGAGGCCTATGCAACCCCCCTGATAGTGTGGTGGGCAATCTGGTGTTAACAGACCCTCACTGGGAGGAACAGTAACTTACAAACTAACACTGACATTACTAGTGACACTAATACAGTGATCAGATATAATATTGTACACTGACACTCTACTAATGACACTGGCTGGGAAAAGGTTAACATTTCGAGGCAATCAAAGGGTTAATTGCATGCCTAATAAGTGTAAAGTGTGCAATATGCTTTTACTTACAGATCTTACTGATTTTTCTATCTGCTTTGCAGGGAAAAGAAAAGCCAGATTGCTGCTCTGTGTGGAAAGTCCTGTATGTTTATAAACACAGAACTCTGTTCTGTGTTTGGCTACAGCTGATCAGCAGGTCCATGGCCAAAATCATTGGCCAGGACCTGTTGACAAAATTGCACTGTAGCCAGTGACACCACAAGTCCCGCATGCTCACCCCAAACCCGGAAGAGGCTGGAAGACATACATGCAGGAGATCCAGCCTGGCTGTGCTGCACACCTGCAGTAAGTGTACTATGGACGGCCAGCAAGCAGTTAAGAAAACACAATGCCTGAGTTTTGAAAATTAATTTCCACACATTGCTTATAGACACAGAGATGAATGAAGGCTTGATTTAAAATGCATAACCTGCTTGTTCGGAATATTTATTGTACTGTAGATATATTAGTGTGCATGATCTGGGCACAGAGTCAATCCTCCCAATGGGGGGCTAGAGAAGAGGATGATTGGGGCTGCTCTATGCAAAACACTGAACAGAACAGGTAAGTATAAACATGTTTGTTATATTAAAAAAATCTGCCTTTATAATCACTTTAACTGAATCTTTTTAAGATACAATCTTGCTTCTCTCCTCAAATCCTCCATGCAAAAGTACACATGATACAACCATACAAACCAAGGGTAGAGTCAAAATAGGGTTTGAATACACAAGCGCCAAATGAGCCACATGCTATATGTGGTTCACTAACGGGGGGGGGGGAAAGGTGTTCAGAATATTAGCTGCTTCGCTAGATAGGAGGATTGAAGAAGAGAGGCAGAGTTGGTGTCAAACGTTGGTGTTAAAGAGAGCCTGGATTTTAGAGAGCTCCATATTAGTGGACAAAGAACATCTAACCACTGGATGTGATAAAGACTTTTCAACTGTCCACGTGTATATGCAAGGACAAAAAAAATTGCTGACAATTGGAGAAAGGCATTTCCTTTCTTTTGAGGCCTGTGCAACCACCCCCCCCTTCCACCCAACCCCTGGAACCTCTAGCTTTGGAATTCTACACCATTCAAACTGTGAGAAGGGTTGGGTGTAGTCCGTTTTTGGTGAGATAAGGTAATCGGCAAGGCATAAGCAATGCACAGCACAACTAAACAGCAAGCAGAGTTTGCATACTTAGGCTTCATGTACCTGAGCCTACCCTGACCACTGGCTGCGGGAAACCGCAAAATGCGGCACCGCGGTTGCCATGTTTTGCCGCTGTTTTGCAATTTCCCACAGTCGGCAGTCAAAACGTTCCTATCCTGTATGTGAATTTTCCGTGTTCAGGAGAGGGAGGTTTAATTTCACCTAAACTCCGCTAACAGCCTATGTGTACACGGACACATAGGCTTTTATGGAGCTGAGCTTAGAAGCCTTGGCAAAAAAAATGCCAAAAACTCCTAAACTCGAGTTTAGGAACTGTCCGTATACATGAAGCCTTAGGTTCCATGCACACTAGTGTTTTTAAGCTCCTAAAAGCTATTATCAGCATATTTTTTCTGCCTCTAGAAGCTATGTGTCCATGCACACTACTTTAGGCTATTAGCATTTTTGAGTTTCAGCGTCTAGAAGCAGAAAAAAAATTGTTTTTGTAGAATTTTTTTTGTGTTTTTCCACCAGAAAAAAAAAATGATAAATGCTCCTAAACGCTACTAAAATGCTCCTAACAAGAGCTTTTTTTCTAGGTTTATTTTTCCTCTACCTGTATTGTACAAACGCTGATAAAATGTTAACGCTCCTAAATGCTTCTGAATGCTACTAAAACACTAAAAAAAACACTATTACCAACATTTTTTATCCAGCGCTTTTCCCGGCATTTTTTTAGCTTACAAAGAACACCAGTGTGCATGGAGCCTTAATGATCAGCTTTGGTTACCCCCATGTACAAAATAAGGCTGTACGTTACTAATATTATGCTGATCACTATCATGAGTAAACCTCAAATATTTTAAAAGACTACTGTTCCTCTATAAGTCAGTGCAGATTTTTTTCCAAATTTTGTATGGCAGAAATATTTTTGCAGAGAAACACTATTGGGTATGGTGCACATTTAAATATAGTTTTTACTGCACATAGAAAAATATAACCTTGTCAGAAAAATGTCACCATCCTTATTTTAATTACTTCAGTTCATAGGGGGTTGTAAGCTCTGTAGGCCAGCCCAGCCTTTCCTTTGTACAATCAGAAAAATCCACACATAATCTATATGCACTCCTTAGCTATGTGAGTATAGAACTGAATTGAATTCAAATCTTTAATTGAAGCAAGCAGATCTAACCACGGCAATTTCACAACAAGTAGCTAAGAACCATAGTGAGTAATACAAATCTGATTTGTGCTGCTCAGTTTGAAGCTGCAGTACAGCAAAGCTATAATGGGTTTGAGTCAATGTTATTTAATGTTTTTAAATTTATTCATTTTAAATTCTTTGAGTCCTCTCTTTTTACTGTTTACTGCATATGAAATCTTTATTGTTTGAACAAACATTTAATACATGATACTACCATGGCATAGGAGCCGCAGAGCACTTTGGGTTTCCTAAACAGATAACACAACAGAAGGTGTTCACTTTCAGAATCTACATCTCTAATAGACGTACTATCCTATCAAAAAATTTCCCATCAAAATATTAAATTTACATATTTCACAAAAGAGAAGGAGATCAGTAATAGCAGCCTTCATATTTTTTACATGGCATATTTCCTTTAAAGTGGTTGTAAAGGCTCAAGGTTTTTTTACGTAAAAAGCCTTCTATGTGCAGCATTCCCTCCAGCCCCCCCATAATACTCACCTAAGCCCCCTCTCAATGCAGCAATGTGCACTGGAGTCTCAGCTATCCCAGTACTCATCTCCTCATTGGCTGAGACAGCAGTGGGAGCTATTGCTGCTGCTGTCAATCACAGCCAGTGAGCCAATGAGAAGAGAGAGGGGGTGGGGCCGTGCTGTGGTTCCATGTATGAATGGATACACAGAGCAGCGACTGGGGAGTGCACAAGCTGCTTGCTGTGGGGGCACCTGATAGGAGGGAAGGGCCAGGGACGCCAGCAGGTGACCTGAGAAGAGGAGGATCCAGGCTGCTTTGTGCAAAACCATTACACAGAGCAGGTAAGTATAGACATGTTTGACCTGTCAATGGATCATAATAAAAGAAATCATGGGGATGATTGCATAGAGGAAAACCATTAAAAAGCACTTACTCTTTATTTAAAACATATACAGTATAATATATGCAGCATCTGATACTATCAAGCAAAGAATAGCACACACGTTGGTTTAGGCCTGTCCCGGGAATGGGACGGGCTTCTTCTGGACTTCTTTGTTTGTGACATCATCATGCTCTAAGAGTCTACAAGCAGCCCACCCCATTCTCAGAACCGGCCACAACCAACGTATGTGATATTCTTTGCTTGATTTTATCGGATGCTGCTGATATTCTACATGTTTTAAATAAAGAATAAGCACTTTTTAATGGTTTTATACTATGTGGTCCCCCTGATTTCTTTCATTATGATCCATTGACGAGTCAGTGGGTGACTCGTGGAATCAGCCTGGAGTGGAAGGTTGTGACAGCTCTACTGATGGGAGTCAGGCTGTATATGATGCTTATTTTGACTACTCTGTTCAAGAGGGCCAATTTATTCTGTTAAACAAGTGTGACCAGATGAGTGGTGGGAGTCATAGGGGTGAAAAATTATTACCTAGAATACTGGGACTTTTGCTCTTGGCACATGAGAGATTTGTTTGTGGACTCTCTTCATATCACCTTTATATGGACTTTTCTCACATATGAACATCTTTTTTGCACATGACTGTATATTTATTTGGTATATATATATATATATATATATATATATATATATATATATATATGTGTATATATATATATATATATATATTCGAACACAGCACTTTGTTATATTATTTATTTGACCAATTTTTATCTATTGGTGTGCTTGCAGCAATTCTTTACACTTTCAGAGTAATCACATTTTTCATTTTTAGCAATAAAAAACTGACAAGGGCTCTTATTTTCATCTACTTTACTACTCAAAAACTTTAATGGCTTGAAATATGGCTCACTGGAAATGTCATACTTTTCCTTGTATTTTATTTGTATTACTTACCGCTAAGATACTAGGACTACGTTGCAGTTTGTTATATGGACTATATTTAGGCTTCATGGGCTTTCCTGCTACTCTGTCCTTGTGTCTTCTGCTGGAGATGTGCTGAAATAATACAGGACAAGTCTTATTAGTAAAATGAAATGAACAAAGATTATCACGAGTAAAATAAAATACAGGTTAATGCAGATAGACATCACAAATAATTTATTCTGGCAGAAGTCAGAGTGCAGAAAATGGAAAGTAAATTATTGATTATGAAAACTTGATCTTATGAACGGGGGGTAAATTCCCGGAATATTGTAGTATCTTTTTAATATTGAATTTGTTAATATTAAATATTAAAGAACTGTATACCTGTTTAAGCTGGATTTCTGAATTTACATGGACATCACAGATTTCACAATGAAATGTTTTGTTCTGCAATCCTGAACCTTTGCTGCCATTCTGAAGTTTTAGCCTGGATCCAGACCTTGGGTAGGATTTGATAGGACCCGCACCATTCCGTGCCTCAAGCATTGTTTTGTGTTTAGAACCTTAACAAAAGAGTTAAAGCTGTTAGGAATATATTATTCATGTAATCTATATAGGATTATAATTACGATAAAGTGAATTTAGTTTTGAACAAAAATGACATAAAGTGGAACTCCAAAAAACAGCTAAATGCACAATTGAAATGCATATATAGGAGTTTTTTTTTAAATGTGTAATTTTAATCCAGGCAGTCCTACGGTTAATGGAGACCTCCAAGACAGCACTGAGGTTTATGACCTGACTTCTCTCTACTACAGTTAAGACAGTACAGCCAGAGCCAGATCAGCTCCCTGCCATTAGCTTGTGGCTGGAATATAGAACAAACAGCAGAGATATTTCCTCTCCCAGCTCTACTAAACATGGGATAATAGGAAGCAGATATCAAGCCAGGTTTAGGAATGTACACTAGTTTCATTTGGAAAATACAATTAGGCTGTTTTCACACTGCAGCCCAGCTTCTTTCACACTGCAGTGCTTCGAAAACAAAAATGCTTAATGCCTTTTAAATGCATTGCATCACAGCCCATATCGGTGAATAGCTGGTTGTTAAGGATGCCATCGGGTGCTGGCTCCTTAACAACCTTTAATTTATTGGTTGTTAAGGATGCCAGAGGGTGGTTGTCATGGAGCCGAAACCAGTGTCCTTAACAACTGTGATAACGGCATCCCTAGTACCTCCATGATGGTCAGGATACTCTTGCTCCTCTTGTGCAAGATAGATGCTACCACTGGTGTGGGGAGAAGCAGAAAGACAGCGGGTGAGAGCTGGGAGGGGAGGAGAGAGGGGTAGCGGGACCAGCATCCACTGGATCCACCGCGCTAGTAGTGACCGCCACGGTTGGGGGGGATGATTATGAGGGGGGCATTGTTTACATACCTTCTGAATGTTTTGGAAGTCAGCAGGCTCCTTAACAATCAACTATTCAATAGTTGTTAACTCCTTCCCACAGGCATATATGAAGCTTCTTGGCAGGTGGGTCTTAACGGCAAGAAGCCCCATATATGCATACTCCAGAAAGAGCAGAACTGTGCCGAGAGCACACACCGTGCCTTCCTTGCACAGTTACTGGCAGCTAACGGAAAGCTCCTGATACTACTTGCGATTGGCCACAAACCTTGCCTCTCATCCTGGCATCTAAAACACCTTAAAGGGCTGGGAGACACCAGAACAAAGGGGTTAAGGGCGCCGGCAGGTGCCCACTCCTTAACAACCAGAATATTTTTGCAATGTGACCCCAAAAACACACCTAAAAATGCACACTGGGTGCATTTTTAATGCGTTTCCCATTGACTTATATTAAAGGTGCATCTTTGGTGTGCTTTTCAAAACGCAGCAGAGCAATGTGAATAAGTCTCATAGGATTGAAGGGGAAATTATTTTGATGCTGGAAAGGTGTATTCCATTGTGGCAAAAGTGCATCAGTGGGAAGGGGGTCTTAAAATATTTTACTGAATGCATTTGTGTAATAAATTGTGCATTTATAGCTGCCTGAGTCCAGCTTTATTAATTATCCAGAGTACTGTGAAAAGGAATTTACCACATTTACATTTGCCTTAAATAGGAAAAAGGAGACAAGTGTTGTTTTAGTGCCAGTTCCCCAGCCTGGATGTTATAGAAATGTCCAATCATAGCTGTAAAGAGGTAACTGCCAATTCACAGTCAACAAATGGTTTTCAATTGAATGATTGTTTAAAATGTAAGAAAAAAAATATAAAAGCTGCCATTAATTATATCTTCTAAAAATGCAAACCAAGCTGATCAGTTTTGAATGTAAATTTTGCATGTAAATTAAAAAAATGAAACTCAGAATTCAGAACTTTCACTATATAAGCGGCTAAGATATAATATTTTTTACCGTAAAGGAAACCCATATTGACAGAAATATGTAGGCTGCCATTGCTTTCCTCTTTCAGAAAAATCTAATTATGTGACTCTTTTGCTGATTTAGTGTCTCGAAGTGAACCTGTGCTTTGTCCAGCAAGGCAATTCAACAGGTTCAATAAAATGTTTGTAAACCTTGGATCCAAAAAATTCAATGTTATAGAATCCTGCCTAATGTAACTGTGCTGGTGTACTCTTTTTGTCTAAATTCTTTCTTTTGCATGTAAAAACATGTCATTGGAAATGACAAAAAGCTCACTGCCACCTATAGGTGGCTTACAGGGTCTCCCGGCAGGTCCATTGTTATCACCCGGTTGTACAGGTTCCCAGTCAAGACTACATCTTAACATACTCCATGTGGCAATATGTGAAAGCTGTAAAAAAGCTTTAATTTAAAGCAACTACCCTAATAAGTTGTTTGATTGTGGCTGAAGGGGGGGAACAGCAGTAATGCCAAGGTTATGGGGCATGAATGCTCTATTTTGACAGGCATCATGGAAGGGGAGGCAGAGGATCACACAATACCACAATGTTCACAGAGAGAAAAAAAAAGTTTTTAAAACCAAAATCTGGAAAAATGCTTTACATATGTTAGTTACGGGGACATTGGTGAAAAGAAGAATTATGGTGTACTACTTTAAAGTGTAACTATGGGCAAAATCAAGTCTCCCTGTGACAAAGTTGTCTTACCTATTGATCATGCCAGTAGAACTGTTATTTTTCCAAATCCTGTAAAGACCAAGCTGTCCAGCAAATATGACAGATGGAGGGGGCAGAAGCAACCATATAACACTGCCAGAGTTGCTTACAATGGTCATCATTTATTCACATAATTTAAACCTTTTTCCAAAAAGAAAGAAAAAAAACATGTTTCTGTACCAATTTAAAAAGTCTTAGCAGGAGCTAGGCTTTAAGTTGTTGCTTCAGCTGGCCATACAATGTTTAAAATTTAGCCTTGTTCTGACCAAAATTCACCTAGTGAGTGTCCCTGTCAGCCCCGCCAGTCCAGCATTCTTCAATTGAAAAAGTGAAGGAGCCAGGTGGAAAATTGTCAGCCGAATTGCAGCTGCATCCAATGAGAAGCAGCCGCTGTCAGATTATAATAGCCCGGCAAGGGGATTTGTTAATTTGTGATGTATAGCATGCACTTTAAAGCGAATACGGTTGTCCCCTATAACAGGAAGTGGAAAATAGCAGATCAACAGCTAATAAAACTATATTCAGGAAAACAAAACCACTGTTTTAATACTACTAGCAGACTGCATCATATATATACATTTTGCCCATAGTTACACTATAACTTCTGTCCTTCTTCTGTACGTACTTATCTTCCCTTTGTCCTCCTGCAGCTCTCTGTTTGGCTGCCAGAAAGGGAAAGAAACTATCTGGTACTTCCAGGCATCGGTAACTCACTCCCCTTCCTCCAGGGTGACAATGCTGATGATTGGTCATTGGCCATTGCATGCTTAGAGGTCAATTACTGAAGTCAACGATAAAGCATAACCCAACCAACCAGAATTTTTTGATGGAGAGATCACCAATGGTAGCCTTTGTGTTTTCATAAGTACAGTTTTCCTATAATGCTGATTGGTTTGATTGATTGATTAAAGGTTGATTTTTTCCTCTGTTGGAGCAAATTGGATCATGCTTTATTGTTTTTTTTTGGGGATCCTCTGGATCAACTGTGGGTATAGGACAGTGTGGAATATGAAAGCTTTCAATTTTGTGTGAGTGTTTTATTTTTCTGTGACTTGAACTGGATGGATTTGTGTTTTTTTTCAATCAGATGAACTATGTAAAAAAATGTTGTTTTAAGTAGCACCCTGAAGGGTCAAAGAAAGAAAATGGATGTGTCTTGCCTTGATACTGTCCTGCATGATATACTATTAGCACAAAGATAAGATATCAAATGCTTCACTTTCAGCGTGCAAGAAAGCCACATTGTCTCAAACTTTGCCATGACTTTCAATCATCGTTCAGACAGTGGCAAATGAATCCTGTCCCTCATAGGACTTGTTGGGGTGTGGGCAGCACAAGGAGGAGCAGATCCATTATACAAGAGGATTGGGAAAATGTGGGAGTCGCAAAAAGAGCAGCTTTGGGAGACCCAAAGAGCTGGAATTCTTGAACCAGCCTATAGCACTCCTCGGTTTTTAGATTTGAATTTTATGATACATTGCAGACTTACCTGTGTTGTGTGCTTCCAGCTGTGACAGAGAATTGACAGCTACTTTGCATAGTGAACAATACAGTAGCTTCTTGGCTTTCTCCTCTTCTGATTCAGAAATAGTGATTGCGCTGCCATTGGTGCCTTTCACCAGTGTTGTGGGTATCACTGCTGTTAATGCCATCTCTGATTTGGCAATGAATGATCTGATTTCTGTCATGCTGTGACTAACTAAATTGCTGCTTTTTAATCTTTCCTGGTCACCTGGAGGAAAAGAAAAAGACAAATGTCCCTATGTAGAAATAGTTTAGACACCAGCCACACACAAGTTGTAAATATTGCCTGCAAGCTTTCATTAGAAGGGACGTTTGACATTTACATGCAATTAGGGTGGACCAAACTTGTTTGAAATGGAAAAGTGGTCTTATTCATCCATCAGTAGGAGATCAGAGCACCAGTATAATTTGCTTGATTATTCTCCTTTGCAGATAAAAGTCCCAACATCCTTGTCATTTAAACAGATGACTAATTCACAGAACCAAAGCGAAACACAGATGCATTTAACTGTGCAACTATACCATTATCCTTCCTGGAATAAAATAAGAAAAGACAACACTGACAATGTATTTTTAACATATCTGTCTGATTGTTATTGTTATTATAGACATCAGAGAGCAGTCAGACATTTGTGAATGATTTCACGGACTCTTGCTATTTGCAGTGCAGCTTCTGTACTAAACATGAATGCTTGGGTAGCATAGGTGTCGCTGTTAAAGGCACCATAGATGGCAACTGAGGAGAGACAGGAAAGGAGCCCAAAGATTGCCCTGGCAAAGTCCAATATCAGCAGCATCAAATCTTATTAACAGAATGATGAAATGGGGGACTGTGTAAGGATGTTTCATAGCCAGATCCAGAGTACTCATTCACAAGGGGGTGGAGGAGATCTGGGGATCCACTTATTTCAAAGGTGGCTTCCAAACTCTGATAGGTTTCCCATCTACCTTCTTATCCTAGGGGTTCTAGTATGTATTTTTAGGAGTGTACCCCATGCTGATTTTCTTCCCTACTAAAGGAAAAGTAAGTCCAAAGCTCTTTCAACCCTACTTCTCCTGTGAGTCACAGGAATGCACTAACTTCTGCACTCCTGTGACCTGCTTTCAGCTGATGGTGGGCTAAAGTCCACTGTCGACTGGCGTCAGTCAGCCGATCCAGAATCTGGTGAGATTCCAACTTTAATGTCAGGATTCACCCAGCCTCTCAGCGCACCTCTGAGAGCCGGAGCCAGGCACTCCTGCCCCCACCACAGCACAATACTTCAGTAAGCATTAGAGGGGCAGAACAGAACCATCAGTTACCATCCCTCTGCTCACTGAAGACGGAGAACTGAGCGATCAAAAGTCTTTGATTGCTCAGTTCTTGCCTTAGAGGCTGCAGGGGACAGCTGCAACTGAGAACAGTGCTGCAGCAATCTAAGTGAGCATGACTGTTATTTTTGATTCCCGCACTTCTCTTTTAACATCTATACCAGACCCTCATCTAGAATCAGGTACATTCAGCCTATTCCTGATGTGTATACAGGTGTTGTTATGCTTATTTTGTTCTTATGCATTTTTCACTGCAACATCTTATAAAAAGTACATGGTCCTTTCATTGAGTTTGCTAGAGTCTGGTCTGAGCATTCTCCCTACAAAAATGTCAGCTCTTCTGTTATGGCAATTGCAGTTATAAAGGAGCAGAAGGTGATAGTATTCGGTCCATGTCACACTACTGAAATGTGGAAATGGCACCAGTTCTGGATCACTTATGATCACCTTTATCAGAATCCAGTTAAATTCTATACATACACAAGAATCTTCATTGAATACTAAATGTTATTTTTTCTACTGCCCAAAAATGTTCTTATTCTTTGTTGAGTATTACACAAAAATGCATACGTTTGGAGGTTATCTATAATGGCTCGGTCAGTATTAGATTTGCATACCAATCATGACAAGTTCAGCACATACTGTGCTCTCTGTCTAATATGGACAGCACAGGCAGCCCAGGATTAGTCTTACATAATTAAAAACTATGGAAAAAAATTAGATGGCTTATCACTATCTGGCTTATGTGAGGGCAGGGAGATCAAAAAATATTTCTTCTGTTGAACATGTTTAACACTTACACCATGTAAAATTTCATGATTGTAAACCCTCAAGCTACAAGCCTTCAAAACGGCTATTAGGAAGCTACATGTTTTTGTCTTTTTTTTACACTCATGGACTTAAGTACTGGAAGTAATTCCAGCTCCAGTCTGTTTTCTGGAATAAAGGAAATGCAAACATGCATAATAAATCTCACCAATAATATTGTTTACATTTTATTATTTCCCCAACTTTGCTATCTCCTGTCTCAAGAAAGTCTCATTGTCAAGATTCTGTAAATTTTCTTCAAGTGCATTTAAAGTGGACCTTCCCCCCCAAATACATTATTTATTTCAGGTACTTATATAGCGCCATCAATTTACACAGCGCTTTACATATATATTGTACATTCAATCAGTCCCTAACCCTCAAGGGGTGTACAATCTAAGGTACATAATCCACTGTTGCATGCTATCATGCATGGCGTTCAACAATCATCCACCACTTTTTTTTTTTTTTTTAAATGTTATTTGACTATTATTCAAGACTTCTTTGCTTCCTCTGAAATATCCGGGGCTGCACCAATGTCCCCCGGGAAGGCCCCATCACCACTGCCTTCCTGGGTTATTTCATTGCAAGTCTGCGAGACCTCACAAGATTTCACTAATTCTTACAGGATCTCACAGTCAGACTTTATTTTCATTAAATTTTCTTTTGCATTGTTGTGTGTTACACAAAATGCATACATTTGGAGGATATCTATAATGGCTCGGTCAGTATTAGATTTGCATACCAATCATGACAATAAGTTCAGCACATACTGTGCTCTCCATCTAACATGGGCAGCACAGGCAGCCCAGGATTAGTCTTACATAATTAAGAACTATGGAAAAAAATCAGATGGCTTATCACTATCTGGCTTATGTGAGGGCAGGGAGATCAAAAAATCTTTCTTCTGTTGAACTAGCAACATGCATATATTTGTAGAAAATTCCGTTTAGAACATGTACACCCATCATGGTGGCCACCAAGATGTGTTTGTATCTGCAGTGTATTCTTTTATAAACCAAAAGAGCTAAACGAGTGTTATTTTTTTTTCATAAAGGTATAGTGTTATAGGACAGCCTGCATATAATATACAATGTGTACGTATGCCTCCCCTGATATAATACCATTGGTGTAATCATGATGTTGACTGATATATATATGTGTACAGATTATACACCTATCCATTAATTTATATTATACTCCAAATCCAATAATTATTGCTCAAGGACATACAGAAAGCTAGCATAGTCAGTACTGACCAGAAACACAGTTTATTAGTAGCCATTCCTTAGAGGCAGTTCAGCCTGTACTGCTGTAGATCCGTATGATAAACACAAGTTGGAGCTCTAGGTAGGAAGCAATGTGTGCATTTGTTATTTGCCGCTTTGTCCTAACTTCCACAGGGACATTTTTTTTCTACTTCAGTAAAAATTAATGCCCAGCAGACAAAACAGAATGCAAATAACATGAAGATGGAATGCCACACAAAGTCCCCAAGGGCTCCTATCTTAATTGTCAGGGGATGAAATTCTGCCAGTTTGTTTTACATTTTTAACACTTACACCATGTAAAATTTCATGATTGTAAACCCTCAGGCTACAAGCCTTCAAAACGGCTATTAGGAAGCTACATGTTTTTGTCTTTTTTTACACTTATGGGCTTGTTTAAGTACTAGAAGTAATTCCACCTCCGGTCTGTTTTCTGGAATAAGGGAAATGCAAACATGCATAATAAATCTCACCAATAATATTATTTACATTTTATTATTTCTCCTTCATTGCTATCTCCTGTCTCAAGGAAGGCTCATTGTCAAGATTATGTACATTTTATTCAAGTGCATTTAAAGTGGACCTTCTCCCCAAATACATAATCCACTGTTCCATGCTATCATGCATGGCATTCAACAATCATCCACCACTTTTTTTTTAAATAATGTTGTTTGACTAACAATTATTATTCAAGACTTCTGGGTTACTTTGACATATCCTGGGCTGTACCAATGTCCCCTGAGAAGGCCCCATCACCACTGCCTTCCTGAGTGACCTCATTGCAGACCTCACAAGATTTCACTAATTCTTACAGGATCTCACAGTTAGACTTTATTTTCATTAAAGAAGATATGTCAGGATTAGTGAAAGTATGCAAGATTTTGCTTCAACATCGCTGGTGGGCTGGCAAAGGAATACCAGACTATGATAACATATTTTTCTTAAAATGGCAGCATGAGAAAAGGCAGAAGGAGTATGAGGTAATAGTGGAAATCAGGCACAACAAATGGAAAAGACGACCATGGCACAAGTAACTTACATATTCAGACTGTGCTTATTTAATTGGTGTATTCAGAATATCAAGGGGGAGAGGAAAGGCTTTAAAACACTAAACTTTTCTTGTTTGTTTTAGATAGAGGAAAGAAGAGTTTAACCTTTAATGCTGTTTGTGTCCTGATTTGGGAAATTAACTCTAATTGTCCTGGTGACCGTTGTCGCCGAGAATGAAAATGAGAGTTCAAAATTTTGAGCTGCCACCAGAATAGAAATAGATGGAAACATGCAATTGGGACAACTGATAGGGGATCTTCCTTACTTCCTGTTGTAAAGGGAAAATTTGGGCAGCACAGTGGCTAAATGGTTAGCACTTCCACCTGGCAGTACTAGGGTTGTTGGTTTGTATCCCAGCCACAGCACCACCTGCTTGGAGTTTGCATGTTCTCCCTGTGTCTGCGTGGGCTTCCTCCAGGTACTCTGGTTTCCTACCACATTCCAAAGACATACTGGTAGGTTAATTGGATCCTGTCTAAATTAGCCTTAGTATGTGTATGTATGAATTTGAGTTGGGGACCTTAAATTGTATGCCCCTTGAGGGTTAGGGACTGATGTGAATATACAATATATATGTAAAGCACTGTGTAAATTGAAGGTGCTATATAAGTACCTGAAATAAATAATAAATAAATAAATGTACCCAATAGGACACAGATGGCACTATGGTGCTGTGTACCCATGTACCTGGTTAGTCAGTGAGGCAAATTTCACAAGAAGCAATGAAA